TCTTTTACTAGAGTATTTGGTCTTTGATCTGGTTCCTGACGTAGAGCTCCTAAAACCTTTATAATCCCCTGACTGATAGGAGCATCTGACATGGGGCTCCCAATTCCATGTCTCCCAGGACCCTGGTTCCTCGTGTTGGGGAATGGCATCAGGGACCAAGATATGGGGGCCAGGCATACTTGTTGCTACTGGGATATACATTCACAAATATTAACATATATATATATATATATATATATATATATATATATATATATAGAGAGAGAGAGAGAGAGAGAGAGAGAGAGAGAGAGAGAGAGAGACAGAGTTTCACTCTTGTTACCCAGGCTGGAGTGCAGTGGCGCGATCTTGGCTCACCACAACCTCCACCTCCTGGGTTCAAGCAGTTCTCCTGCCTCAACCTCCCGAGTAGCTGGGACTACAGGTGTGTGCCAACATGCCCAGCTAATTTTTGTATTTTTAGTAGAGATGGGGTTTCACCATGTTGACCAGGATGGTCTCGATCTTTTGACCTTGTGATCCACCTGCCTCGGCCTCCCAAAGTGCTGGGATTACAGGCGTGAGCCACCGCGCCCGGCCAACAAATATTTTTATTTTTTGTTTACTTATTGAAGATGGGAATAAAGTAGCTTTGTTTTTCTTTTTGAGATGGAGTTTTGCTCTTGCTGCCCAGGCTGGAGTGCAATGGCGTGATCTCGGCTCACTGCCATCTCTGCCTCCTGGGTTCAAGTGATTCTCCTGCCTCAGCCTCCCAAGTAGCTGGGATTACAGGCACCCGTAACCACCCCCAGCTAATTTTGTATTTTTAGTAGAGATGGGGTTTCTCCATGTTGGTCAGGTTGGTCTCGAATTCCTGACCTCAGGTGATCCACCCACCTTGGCCTTCCAGAGTGCTGGATGACAGTTGTAAGCCACCACGACTTTTTTAAAGTATGGAGTTTAAATTTGGAATAGATGTTGTTGCACAGCGGAAGTTCCCTGCTTTGAGTCCCTCGACAGCAAAGACTACGCCGTAGCCATCACTGCTGGAAGGAACAAGGCACTGTATTGGGTGAATGTCCTGAGTGTTTTTGCTCCAGAGAATGAAAAGCGCCAACCCTCCTGGGAAGTTAAGTCAGCGTGGACAGCGTGGGGTCATCCCAGCGTGGGGCTACCGGCCAGTGTCCTTTCCATGCCCCGGGTCCTGCAGGAAAGCATGGCACTGATTGACCGACTGACTACCAGGTGAGCTGTGTTCTCCTTCCGCTTTTGCCACAAACGTGGGAAGAAAGGGTTTATTCATCGATCGAATCCCTTTGGGCCCAACTCACAAGTGTCATGTTAGTGAGCCTGGTGCCCCCAGACACACACCACCAATGCCCTCAGGTCCCTTTCAGCCACCTCAGAGGAGCAAACTTCACGACTGCCGGACCGCAGCTCTCGAGGAAGAGCCAGGCTGCAGGCAGCGCCTTGCAAGTGCTTCCCCAGCTCCGATAGCACCGCAGGCCCCGCTCACCCAGCAGAGCCTCCCCAGACAGAGCCGCAGCCAGCCCCTTCTCAGGTCCCCAGGCCCCCTCTCCCTCCCAAGCTCTGTCCTTGTAGGGAGTCCGGTCTGCGGCCCTGCCTGGAGGTCTGGCTCTGGAGGCTCTAAGGACGAGGCCACCAGACCCCCACGGACCCCTTCTCTCACCTCCAGCCCTTAGTCTCCCTGACTCCCTTGGCTGCTGGGACTCCATGGATTCCCACCGGAGACCACAGAGAAATGCCCTACAGGGGGATGGCAGACATCCACCCATGGGTGCCAGTCCTGCTTGGGGGTTCTCGGGCCCGGGGCAGCCCTGACTCATTGGCACAGAGGATCAGACCCCAGGACACGCATCCAGGGCACAGGGACTTCACAGTCCTGGCCACGTGGGAATGGAGCTGTGGCCGGAGGGTGGGTGTACATCTCATGCTGACCTAGCTCCAGTGTCCTCCTCTGACCCTTATGGTCACATCGCCTCTCTGGGCCTGGTTCTTTGTAAACTGGAGTTTATTTTATTTTTTGAGTCAGGATCTCGCTCTGTTGCCCAGGCTGGACTGCAGTGGCGTGATCTTGGCTCACTTGCAACCTCCACCTCCTGGGTTCAGGCAATTCTTGTGTCTCAGCCTCCCATGTAGCTGGGACTACAGGTGCTGCTACTGTGCCCAGCTTTTTTTTTTTTTTTTTTTTTTTTTTTTTTTTTTTTTTGTATTTTTAGTAGAGTCAGAGTTTCATCATGTTGCCCAGGCTGGTCTCAAACTCCTGGCCTCAAGCAATCCGCCCACCTTGGCCTCCCAAAGTGCTGGGATTACAGGCGTGAGCCACCGCGCCTGGCCTGTAAACTGGAGTTTGTAATGAAACCCACCTATTCGGGGCTCACATGACAATTTGTTCAGAAAGCTCCGCCCACAACAGTGCCCAAGATTGGCATTGGTGTCACCTTAGTATTATCAAAACTACAGGTAGGGGTGTGTGTGTGTGTGTGTGTTGACACAGTCTCGCTCTGTCGCCAGGCTGGAGTGCAGTGGCTCAATCTCGGCTCACTGCAACCTCCACCTCCCCGGTTCAAGCAATTCTCCTGCCTCAGCCTCCCGAGTAGCCAGGATTACAGGTGTGCACCACCATGCCCGGCTAATTCTTGGATTTTAAGTAGAGACAGGGTTTCACCATGTTTGCCAGGTTGGTCTTGAACTTCTGACCTCAAGTGATCCACCCACCTCAGCCTCCCAAAGTGCTAGGATTATAGGCGTGAGCCACCGTGCCGAGCCTATTTTTTCATTTTTATTTATTTATTTGAGAGACAGAGTCTTCCTCTGTCACTCAGGCTGGAGTAGTGGCATAATCACTGCTCACTGCAGCTGTGGCTTCCCAGGCTTCAGTGATCGTCCCACCTCAGTCTCTTGAGTAGCTGGGACCAGAGGTGTGCCTCACCGCACTCAGCTAATGTTCTAATTTTTTCTTTTTTTTTTTTTTTTGAGACGGAGTTTCGCTCTTGTTACCCAGGCTGGAGTGCAATGGCATGATCTCGGCTCACCGCAACCTCCGCCTCCTGGGTTCAGGCAATTCTCCTGCCTCAGCCTCCTGAGTAGCTGGGATTACAGGCACGCGCCACCATGCCCAGCTGATTTTTTGTATTTTTAGTAGAGACGGGGTTTCACCATATTGACCAGGATGGTCTCGATCTCTTGACCTCGTGATCCACCCGCCTCGGCCTCCCAAAGTGCTGGGATTACAGGCTTGAGCCACCGTGCCCGGCCTAATTTTTTCTTTTTTAAGAGACAGGGGTCTCCCTATGTTGCCCAGGCTGGTCTAAAACTCCTGGGCTGACGCTATTGCCTCTCCCTCACCTCCCGAAGTGCTGGGATTACAGGCTAGAGCTTCATGTTTTTGCCCCAGGAATCCCAGGTCTGAGGTTTAGCCCGAGGACATACTTACCCATGTGCAAAGTGGTGACCACACCAGGACATGCGTGTGCACCCTTTGCACCTGAGTGTGCAGCAGAGCCCTCTGCAGGCCCCGCACTGTCACACCTGCAGCAGCTCACGCTGCACCCCGAGATACAGTGTCAAGAGGAGACAACAATGTGTGGTGTTTGGCCATCTGTGTAAAAGAAAAAAATGTGCCTGGGCGCGGTGGCTCATGTCTGTAATCCCAGCACTTTGGGAGGCTGAGGAGGGCAGATCATGAGGTCAGGAGATCAAGACCATCCTGGCTAGCATGGTGAAACCCCGTCTCTACTAAAAATACAGAAAAATTAGCCGGACATGGTGGCACATGCCTGTAGTCCCAAGCTGCTCGGGAGGCTGAGGCAGGCAAATGGCTTGAACCAGGGGGGTGGAGGTTGCACTGAGCTGAGATCACACCACAGCACTTCAGCCTGGTCAGCAGAGCGAGACTATGTCTCAAAAAAAAAAAAAAAAAAAAAAAAGAAAATGCATGTACATGTGTGCATGTGTTTACTGGAATTTTCATAAAATGATCTCTAGGAATATCCACAAGATGACTCTGTTTATCCTTGGAAGCAGAGCTAGGGAGCCTGGAGCTGGGTGGGAAATGGGCATTCTTACCCTCATACCTTCTACATCTTTTGAATTTTGAACCATGGGTACAAATGACCTAGTACAAATAAACTGCAAACATTTAAGGAATTGTCAGCTGTGTAGGAAGTGTTCTGGGTTGGTAAGTGTTTTGAAACTAGGGGCCGGGCATGGTGGCTCACGCCTGTAATCCCAGCAATTTGGGAGGTCAAGGCAGGCGGATCACCTGAGGTCAGGAGTTCAAGCCCAGCTTGGCCAATATGGTGAAACCCTATCTTTACTAAAAGAACAAAAATTAGCCAGGCGTGGTGGCACGTGGCTGTCATCCACAGAGGCTGAGGGAAGAGAATCACTTAAACCCAGGAGGTGGAGGTTGCAGTGAGCCAAGGTTGTGCTATTGCACTCCTGCCTGGGAGACAGAGCGAAACACTCTCTCAAAAAAAAAAAAATTTTTTTTTTTTGAAACTAGAACCAGGGGTTGCACAGCACTCCGAATGCGACAAATGCTGCTGAGTCTCTCACTTGGAAATGCCTCAACTTATGCTTTGTGAATTTCTTCCCAATAAAAAAATAAAAAGGGGCCAAGAGCAGGGGCTCATGCTTATACTCCCAACACTTTGGGAGGCTGAGGGGGGAGGACTGCTTGAGCCCAGGAGGTTGCAGTGAGCTATGATTGTGCCACTGCACACCAGCCTGGGCAACACAATGAGATCGTGCCTCTAAAATAAATGAGTAAGTAAAGATATGCAGCTGGTACCATGCGCCCTGGGAAGTGGGCATCTGGTGAAGGGTTGAAGGGAAGCAGCGCCCCTACAGAAGACACTGCTCCGAGTCTGTGCATTAAGAAAAGGTCAGAGTTGGGGAGTTCCCATGGCCCCTCCCTGTATCTCCCTGCTGCCCTGAGGTCCCGGAGAGGTGTGAAGCAGGTGGAACTGCCCATTCAAATAAACACATCAGCAGCGTGAGGTGCTTGTCTTTTTTTTTCATCATTTAAAAAAATGTTACAAAACAATATCATTCATCATATATTTCTTGATTGTTCCTTTTTTTAAAAAAAATTACAGTAATAAAAAAGTCATTTTATAAAATAATATAAAAGGGCTTGATGGGTAGGGCTGGGTGGGGGCTGTCTGAGCTGGTGGGCTGAGGAATCCAGCGCTTTTCTTCTGGCTTCCCTCATCGGGAAGGGCCCTCCGGCCACAGCTGGGGATGACAGCACATCCCCATCTCCATCTCTGGCTGGGCCTCTTACAGGCCGTGGGAGATGGGCAGGCAAAGCCGGGGCCGGGAGGCCGGTGGGCAGACCCAGGCAGGGGGACGGCTGGGGCTCTGTCCTGAAGAGAAGGGAGGGCCTGCTGGTGGGATGAGGTGGCACTGGGCAGCGGGTGGTCTTGCCCCTTGGTGCTGGCTCCTCCAGGCAGTCTGCCTAGCTTCCGCTGCTCAGCATCCCCAGCAGCTCGCTGGGCTCCAGTCCCTGCTGCTGGGCCACTGTCTGCACGTCGAAGCCCATGTGCATGAGGAACTGGGCCACGTTCATCTCTTGCCCCGTGAACTGGTCCCGGACAGTGGGACACGAGGGGTTGCAGTGGGGCCAGGGGCAGCTGTCCACCAGGTGGACGGGGCAGCCCTTTAGGGGGGTCTTGCTGGCTTTGTGGCTGTCATGGAGGCTCCTATCCCAGCAGTGCAGTGCCCGGGGCAGTGAGATCCCCTTCACCTGGACATCTGTCCAGTGGCTGCGGAGGAAAACCGGGTTGGGGTCACATGAGCAGTGGTATCACCCCCGAGGCGGCCGTTTTCTGTTTGAGACCGAGCTGGAGTGCGGTGGGGTAATCTCTGCTGACCGCAACCTCCCCCTCCCAGGTTCAAGCGATCTCCTGCCTCAGCCTCCCGAGTAGCTAGGATTACAGGCACATGCCACTGTGCCTGGCTAATTTTTGTATTTTTAGTAGAGACAGGGTTTTACCATGTTGGCCAGGCTGGTCTCAAACTCCTGACCTCAGGTGATCTGCCCACCTTGGCCTCCTAAAGTGCTGGGATTACAGGCGTGAGTTACTGCTCCCAGCCTGGTTTTTTTTTTTAAGACAAGGTCTCCGTCTGCCTCTCAGACTAGAATACAGTGGTGTGATCACTGCTCACAGCAGTCTCAACCTCCTGAGTTCAAGTGATCCTCCCACCTCAGCCTCCCGAGTAGCTGGGATTATAGGCGTCAGCCACTGCTCAGCTGTGGTGGGTCTGAGTCTTAATTCTTGCCATATAGATGTTGCTACAAGGGGCTCTGGCAGCCCTAGAAAGAAATCCCATACACGGAGCCAAGAAGAGGCCTGAGGGAGGCCAAGTGCAGTTGGGGAGCCTGTGGACTTTTGAAGCTGATGTCATGGACGCCAGCTGCCCGGAGCCCAGGGACACTGACCTCCGGATGATGATCTCATGGGAGAGGCAGGCAGGGGCAAAGCTGGCCCTGTTGGAGAGGAGAGAGTAGCCTGTGAGCTCCCCACCCCCTCCCTGGATCCCTTTCCCACCCTCCTCTCCTAGAGCTGTCCCTGGCCTGGCCATCGCCTTTCCTGTTGCTTTGGCTGCCAGCTGCTCCTCCGGCCCAAGCCTCCCCTGGAGTCAGCCAGCTCCCAGCTGACCCTTATTCCTTTGTGCCACAAATCCCTCCTCAGAGTCCACCTCTTCCAGGCAGGGCCTCCTGGGCGGGGGCAGGACGCTGTCCTAGACAGGGAAATATGCTACCATCCAGAACCCTATTTCTTTTTTTTGTTGTTGTTTTTGTTTGTTTTTTTTTTTTTTGAGACGGGGTTTCGCTCTTGTTACCCAGGCTGGAGTGCAATGGCACGATCTCGGCTCACCGCAACCTCCGCCCCCTGGGTTCAAGCAATTCTCCTGCCTCAGCCTCCCTAGTAGCTGGGACTACAGGCGTGCGCCACCACGCCCAGCTAATTTTTGTATTTTTAGTAGAGACGGGGTTTCACCATGTTGACCAGGGTGGTCTCGATCTCTTGACCTCGTGATCCACCCGCCTCGGCCTCCCAAAGTGCTGGGATTACAGGCTTGAGCCACCGCGCCCGGCCCCAGAACCCTATTTCTATTTTATTTTGAGCAGGGGTCTGCTTCTGTCGCCCTGGCTGGAGTGTAGTGCCACAACTGAAGCTCGCTTGCCTCCCACAAGGAAGGTTAGCTCACTGTAATCTTCAGCTCCTGGGCTCAAGGGATCCTACTTCCTCAGCTTCCCGAGTAGCTGGGATTCCAGGTGCTGCCACCATGCCCAGCTAATTTTTGTATTTTTTGTAGAGACAGGGTTTCACCATGTTGCCCAGGCTGGTCTTGAACTTCTGGCCTCCAGCAATCTGGCTGCCCCGGCCTCTCAAAGTGCTGAGATTATAGGCATGAGTCACCGTGGCAGGCCCAAGACCTCTCTCTCTCTATATGTATATTTTTTTGAGAAGGAGCCAGGCTGGAGTGCAGTGGCTCACTGTAACCTTCACCTCCTGGTTCAAGTGAATCTCTTGCCTCAGCCTCCCGAGTAGCTGGGATTACAGGTGCACACCACCATGCCCGGCTAAGTTTTGTACATTTTGTGGAGATGGGGTTTCGCTACGTTGGCCAGGCTGGTCTCATACCCCCGACCTTAGGTGATCTGCCCACATGGGCCTCCTGAAGTGTTGGGATTACAGGCGTGAGCCCCCCTGCGCTCGGCCTAGAACCTCTATTTTTAAATCAAGAGTGAGCTGCCCAGCGAGGGGCTCCCGGGGCCCATGCACTCACGGCACGTCCTTGAGGGTGTGGCGCACCTCGCGGCCCAGATTCTCGATGTACAGCCGCTGGCCCTCCTGCACCGGCTGCCCTGAGAGGTGCACGTTGCCCACAGTCAGCTGGGCCTCGTCAAACAGCCACTGCACCACGAACACGGGGCCTGCAGGTGGCGGGGCTCAGTTCGGCCTCCCCATGACCCCTGCTCCTGCCCCCGACCCCAGGCTCCAAGCTCAGCACCCCCAAGTCCCCTCCAGTGCTGCTGAGGCTCCCAGGCCGCTCTCCCCAGGGGTGCCAGTCACCAGTCCCTAAGAATGTGGCTTCCTTCTTCCAAACCAGCATTTTTATAATCCATAGGTTCATCTAAACAGATAAACAAACCACCTTTCCTTGAAAAAAGGCTCTTGTTAACCCCTCCATGACCCTGGCCTGCTTCTCAGCCACTCCACTGTCACTAAAATTTGCTGATGATTCACTGGAATACAACCTCACCACTCCTCAGAGTGAGGGGCTGGGGAGAGACTGGCCCAGGGCCCTGCAGCAGGGAGGGGCAGCTCGGGGATTAGGTCCAAAGCATTAGTCACGGGTGTAGACAGGGTGACCGCCTGTCCCGGTTTGCCTGGGACTGGGGGGTGTGAGCGCTGAGGGCAGGCAAGTCCCAGGCACACCACGGCGACAAGGCCCCCTGGCACACAGCCGGCCTCCTCCCCGGACCAGGGCAGTGGCCTCCAAGCCCAGCCCGAGGGGCTGGAGTCTGCGCCGGATTTTCAGAAGCTGCCCCGCGGCTCCACCCTGCCGCCCACTCACAGCGCAGAGTCGGGTAGATCTTGTAGCCGAAGAAGCAGTTCCACTCCTCGCCCTCCTGGAACTGGCGGCGGCAGCGCTCTGGGACCACCCCGTTCCAGTACCTGGAGCCACAGCTGCGGGTTAGGCTGCCACGGGCCCCGCGCCCCGGAGCTCCCCACCCACAGATGCCGCCCCACCCAGGCCCTTGCGGGGCACAGCTGCGGCGCGGGGGCTGGGCACCTGATGCCGCGGCGGATGGCCTCCGTGGGCGCGCACGTGATGGTGTCGATGCAGTCCGTGTGGCGGTACTGCTCGCTGTCCAGGAACCAGCCGGAGTCGGCCAGGCCTCGCACCTGGATGGCCGGGTAGCCCAGCTCCTCCAGCTGCTCGGCCACGCGGTCCACATTCAGCAGCACCCCGGTGCCCCCCGCGCTGCGAGGAGGGCCAGGCGTGAGGCCCGGCGGCTGGAGAGGCGCTCACCTCCCCGCGTGCGCTCAGCCCCGGCCCGCGCCCCTGCTGCGTCCGGAACTGCGAGCGCCTCCCGGTCTACACTGCGCGTGCGCAGGCGACCCGCGCTCTCTGTTCACGTGCAAGACCCACGGCCTTCAGGGGCCTGGGGCAGAGGGGCTGGCAGGGCCCCTGCGCAGGCTGGTGTTGAGGCTGGCAGGTCACCACACTTTCCTGACACGGCCAGGCTCTCCCCTCCCTCCTCCCCTTCCTCTCTGTCTCTTTACCTCAGTTTATCTGAAAATGAAGATAAACTACGTGGCCTCAGGCCCCTTCATCTGCTCCCCGTATGTCCCCTGGGTCTCCTGCATGCCTGCTGGGATACTGGGGCCCACCGGGGCGATCCTCACCTACCGGGCCCTGGAGGAGGGGCGTCAGTCCATGGCCAACCCCTAACCAACGACCTAGGTCCCTGCAGCGCACGCCTTCCCCTACATCCAGCAACCATCGAGTCCAGAAGCATTCTCTGGACAGCGTCCGGTTGCCCAGCACTCTGGAGCCGCACCTCAGAGACCCCAGTGATGCCAGCTCTCCCAGCTCCAGCCTCTCACCCTCCCAGCCACCAGCCAAGATCTGCACAGGCTCCGCCCCCTCCTCACCTCCCATACACCCCCACCCCACACCCATTCCATGCGCCCTCCACACAGGTCCCTGCCTCTCACCTCCAGCGCCCACCCCACCCTGCCCACCTGCTCCCGGCCAGCAGCAGCACCTTGGCCCCGCTCAGCCCTCTGCCCAGGAGCTCTCGCACCACCTCCTGGATGATGAGGGTGCCCATGAATGCATACTCGTCTGCAAGAGAGAGAGGGGATGGCCTCAGGTAGGGGGCTGGGCAGAGAACCATCTCCTGCACCAGAATGGCTGGCAGAAGAGTTCTGGCTCTGCTGGGGGACTGGGGGGAATCTTCTGGGGAGGGGTCCGGGACTGGAGGAAGGTGGGTACACCAGGCCATGCTGGGGCCCCCTCCCTAGGGAATATTCAGAAATCACGACCCCCTACAGTCTTGGCCAAGCGGGCAGTGGGCACGTGGGGCGGGGACCCTGGGGCATACTATGAAATATGAAAGGCTTTGAGAGTGTGGCAATGCTGAGTGTCAGCTTTTCCCCAGAAACCCCCCTGTGCCCCCCTCATCCCTCCCCTGCCGCGCCTTGCCGTGCCCTGGGAAGGCCGGGGACTCACTCTTCTCGGACTTAGATGAAGCCCCGCTCCAAACATCACTGGAGCAGTAGGGGATGAAGCTGCAACACAGGACAGTGAGCATGCCACAGCGCCGCCGCTCGCTGGGCAGCCTCCAGGAATGATGAAGGACCCCCCAAGAAGGACCATCCCAGGACAGGCCTCCCCAAGAAAGACCCCCAGGATAAGACGTCCCCAGGAAAGACCATCCCAGGACAAACCCCCCCCCCCAGGAAGGACCAACCCAGGATAGGACCCCCCATGGAGGATCCCCAGGAAGAACCCTCTCCAGGCAGAACCCTGCTCCCCCTTACACCATGTTTGCGTTCCACCAGTGGGGGTTCTCCTCCGGCTGTGAGGACAGGATCCCTGTGCCTGGGGACAGAGGCAGTGGGGCTTTCTAGTGGCAGGAGGCTGCCCAGGGACGGGAATCCCAGGCGGGGACTGGGCTCCCACTTGGCCCCAGCAAGGGAGGTGTCCTAGTGCTGCGGGCCTGCACCGAGGTTGCCGGGAGTGGAAGACCGTCGGGTTTAGTCACCCAGGGAAGCCACCATAGCCACGGTGCCCGGCCAGGCTGCGACACTAGGTCTGACCTTGACTCCAAACCCCATCCCCGCTTTGACCCTCGGGACGGTAAGCGCCTATTAACTGCTAGTGTGGAATGGACCCCAAAGGGCGAGAGTGAAGGCGCCCCTTGCTCTTAGGAACTCAGGCGCCGGGCCGGGTACGACGAGCGGGGCGGGGGCCTCGCCGGGGCTCAGGGAGCGGGCACGGCTTTCTCCCGGACCTCCCGTGGAGGCCGCCTTCCCCGAGGCCCGCCGCTGACCTCTGCGAGTGCGCGGCCAGTCCCGGGAGCTCATGAGGCGCCGCATGGTGTCGTATCTGGAGTCGCAGCTCTCGCGGTTGAAGCAATACCAGCCGCCTGCGGACACGGCCACCGGCTCAGGCCCGCGCGCGCGCAGGGACCCCCGCCCTCGCCCTGCCTCGGCCCCCGGACGCACCTTCCAGGAAGAGCAGCCACCGCCGGCTGCCCTTGGACTCCTTCAGGTAGTAGCTGCGGGGAGGACACCGAGCGGTCGGCCCGGGCCGCAGAGCCGCCGCGCTTCCCCCGCGCCCAGCCCCGGCGGAGGGGCCGCGCCACCTGTTCCCCGCCGCGCGCGGCGGTCGCACGAGGGCGCCCTCGGCCAGGCCCACGCGGAGCGCAGCGGACGGCGGCGGTCCCGGGAGGTGGCGCTCGCGGGGCGGGGAAGGGACCGCGCGGGCTGCGGTCCGTGGAAAATCCCCACGGCCCGCCCGGCGCGGGTCCTGCCGTAACCTCGGCGCCGGCGGCTGGTAGAGAGTCCTCCCGGGGCGCGCAGCGGCGCTCAAAGCGTGCAACGCGCCCGCAAGGAGGAGCGCGCATGGCGGGGGCGCGGCACGCTCCAGGGGGTGCGGGGGGCGCGGGCGCCACCGACCTGGCGTGCAAGCCTTCGGGCAGAGGCCCGACCCCACGCCCCGGTCTCCCGGCTGTCCTCGGCCTGCTGAGCGCGTGGGCGCCTCCGCCGCGCCCCGACACCTGGCCTCACGTCTCTTAGCTACTCCGGGGCCGTGGGGTGGGGGGCAGTAGGACTCTCCCCGCCCCCCGGGGTCGCCTGTTCCCGCTGGAGCCGGGCGCGCTCTCCGGCTGCATCTCCCCGCCCAGGGACAGAAGGACACGCGCAAAGCGCCTGTGTCCGCTGGCCGAGGGGGCAGCGCGGCTCTGCTCTTCACGCGGCAAGTCACCGAGGCGAGCCCTCCCCAGGGCCAGCACCGCGGGACGCCCGACGGAAGCCCTTTCCCCCCCCCACCCCGGGGAGAGAACGGCCGCGGCCCGCAGGGAGGGTCCAGCCGGAGGCCGGGCGCGTCCGGGTGAAGCAGGGAGGCGCAGGGCGCGGGCTTACCCGGCGGGGCTCCCGTCGTTGCAGGTCACCGAGGTGTTGAGCAGGAGGTGCAGGCGCAGGTCCTCGTTGAGCTGCGGCGCGGAGCAGGGGTACAGGGACTGAGCCAGGCTCTTGACCTGTGCCATGAAGCTGTCCATGTTGCCCTCCACGGCCGTGAAGTCCAGCGGGAAACTCTCCACTGGCTGTCCAGCCGCCGGCGCCGCCTCGGTCCGCGGGGGAGGCGGCGGCAGGGGCGGCGGCGGGGGCGGCTGCTGACCCTGGCGCCGCCAGGTCTTCTTGGCCTCGCCGCCCCCGGCGCAGTGCAGCAGGCCCAGCAGCAGCAGCACGCGCACCCCTCGGCCCATGGCCGCGCCGCTCGGGTCCGCGGCCACCTGCGGACAGCGGGCGGCCTTGAGGCGGTGGCGGCGGGGGGTGCCGGGCCGGGGGTGCCCGGGACGCGGGGTGCCGGCGGCTCCTGCTCGCTCGCCCCCGCTCCCGGCCGCCGGGCCTGGCGGAGAAGGCGCGGGTGGCTGGGCGTCGAGGCGCTCGGGGCCGGGTGCCGTCGGCCTCCGCCGCTGGGGCTTCGCGCCCGGCCGTCCGAGGGCAGCGCAGGGTCTGGGTGCGCTGGCTCCGGCCCGCGCCAATGAGCGGCGGGGGCCGAGCCTGGGCGTATTTGCGGGGGCCGCGGCGGCCCGGGTGCCCGCGCGTTAGATGTGCCGCCGCCGCCGCCCGGGCTCGGCGGAGGGGGGAGGGGGCCGCGCTCGCTCTTTTCTTGGCGGAGGCATCGCCTTTTCTTCCCAAACCGCAAGCCTGACGGAGGGGCCTGGACTACCCCGCCGCGGCCGCCGGAGGCGCTCCCGGCCCGGCTCCGTGGGGGGCAGCGCGGCCGGGCGGCCCCGGCGGCTCCATTCACCGCGGCCAGCCCGGCGCCTCCGCCCCCGCCCCGGGGCAGCTGGAAGGGGCGGCGGGTGGGGGGTGGCGACGGGGAGGGGCGAGGCTTTTCCGCGCCGGGGGGGATGGGGGGGAACTCCGCCCGCGGCGCAGCTGGCCGCGCCCGACGGACTGGGGGCGCGGGGAGGGCGCGCTCACCTGGAGCCGCCGGCGTCCCTCCCATCCCCCACCGCCCAGGCCCAGAGCGGGCCGTGGGGGACTCAGACCCCGGCCCGCATCTCCCCACCCGGAGCAGCCCTGGGGCCCCGCTCTCACCGCGGCCAGCGCGGGCGGCCCAGCGGCCCCAGCCTCTCAGCGCCCTGGCCCTGCGCCGTCCCGCTGGTGCGCCCGGCTCGGCTGCGCTCCCCCTCTGGCGCTGGCGCGGAGCCGCCAGGGACTTTTATCCAGCGGGGCCCCCCGGGATCAAAGCGGCGGCGGACACAGGGCTTCGAGCCGAGGGCCAGGCAGCAGCGGCGCCAGGGCCTCCTGGAGAAGCGGACAGGTGGGGCGCGAGGTCCTGGCTTCCTCGGAGACCGGTGGGAGGGACCGCGCGCCCCTGCGAGGCGCCGCGGCGGAGTCGCCCAGTCCCGGGCCGGGGTGTGCAGATTCCGGGCCGCTTCTGCTGGCACTGGAGTCAAAGAGGGAGCTGCGACTTAAGAAGATCACAGGGGCCAGAGGTGAGGTCTTGGATCTCCGCCTGCCCCAGCCTGGCTGCTGGCCCCTGCCCAGGACCCTCAGGAACCTTCCCCAGCCGCCACTGGGGGAGGAGGCCAAGGGTCGAGTGGCTGCCTGCTAGGCCTCTGCTTGGGGCGCTTCATGCCAGGAAGGGCGCCAGGCTTCACCTTGGAGAGCACCCCGTCCACTTCCGAGGCTTAGGATACTGGGGGCAGAACAGGGTTCCTGTGGGAAATCAACGCTGGAGGGGCTCAGGAGGCTTCCTGCTGTGGAGGCAGGGGGCGGTGGGGGGTGTGGACAAAACAGGCGACGGACACACATGGGACCGGTCGGCAGAGCAGACTTTCCCTTTCACCGTCAGGTCTGCAGCCTGCTGGGTGCCATGACGCCCATTTTGAAGATAAGAAACTAGTCTTGCGTTTCAGGACAAGGGTCTAGATCCAAGCAGAACTTCCAGAGCTCCTCCTAACTCAGGACAGTGGGGAGCCCACAGCACCGAGTAGGGCAGGAGAGCAGAGGCTGCAGGGTCATGGCTGCAGCCAGGATGCCGCCTGAGCCTCGGACCCCTGACCCTGTGCACGTCTTCCTTGCCAGCCCCAGGCTGAGTGAGAAGCTTAGGGAGAGAGTCCCAGTTGTGCTTTCTGGGTCTGAGCTCTTGCAAAACACGGAGAGAGACCAAACAGCTCTGAGAGCTGTTGCCTGGTGCGTCTGATGGGTGTAAGGGCACCCCTGTGTAAACCACAAGGCCTAAGATCAGGCTGGGGTGCCTTGGAGGTCAGCCTGGGCTGGGGACATTCTCAAAGAGGGAGGCAGGCAGTGTTCCTAACACAAGTCCACTCCACAGACCCCCCTCCGCCCCACAACACACACACACACACACACACACACACACACACACACACACACGGCAGATTGCAGCATTTCCCTGACGAGGGGAACTGAGGTTCAGGAACACTAATGGAAGAGCTGAGACTTGCCCTTAGCTCTCTGCTTACTCAGAAATCCACACCTGTTCCTCTGTCGTCAGGTGGGTTTAAAGACCACGTGTGGGCGGGCGTCGTGGCTCACACCTATAATCCCAGCACTTTGGGAGGCCGAGACGAGCAGATCACCTGAAGTCGGGAGTTTGAGACAAGCCTGATCAACATGGAGAAACCCGGTCTCTACTAAAAATACAAAATCAGTTGGGTGTGGTGGCGCATGCCTATAATCCCAGCTATTCGGGAGGCTGAGGTAGGAGAATCGCTTGAACAGGAAGACAGAGGTTGCAGTGAGCCGAGATGGTACCATCGCACTCCAGCCTGGGCAACAAGCAAAACTCCCTCTCAAAAATAAATCAATAAAAAATAAAGACCACGTGTGGGGCTGGCCAGGGGCAGTAGCTTCAGACTCAGGTCCCATCCGCAAGTGTTCTCCGGCCCACACCCCAGCAGGGAAGGCTAGCCCAGGCCGGACTTTAGGGTCCAGCAGGAACCTGTCTGGAGGAGGCCTCTCCCCCAGGCATCTGTTATTCCAAGTCCGGAGTGTGATGCTGTCCAGCTGGCTGCACAGCGTTGTTCTTCACACTACCCTGGCTCTGAGGCGTTTCCTGGTGCGGTGCGGTGCGGAGATCCCGGCAAGACTTGTGACCTTCCCCTGTGCCTCCGCTTCCTCTCCTTTATTTTTTATTTATTTTTTATTTTTGAGACGGACTTTCGCTCTTGTTACCCAGGCTGGAGTGCAATGGCGCGATCTCGGCTCACCGCAACCTCCGCCTCCTGGGTTCAAGCGATTCTCCTGCCTCAGCCTCCCTAGTAGCTGGGACTACAGGCGTGCGCCACCATGCCCAGCTAATTTTTGTATTTTTAGTAGAGACGGGGTTTCACCATGTTGACCAGGATGGTCTCGATCTCTTGACCTCGTGATCCACCCGCCTCGGCCTCCCAAAGTGCTGGGATTACAGGCTTGAGCCACCGCGCCTGGCCTCTTTCTTTTTTTTTTTTTTTGAGATGGAATCTTGCTCTGTTGCCCAAGCTGGAGTGCAGTGGCATGATCTTGGCTCACTGCAACCTCCGCCTCTCAGTTCCAGTGATTCTCCTGCCTCAGCCTCCTGAGTAGCTGGGATTACAGGCACGAGCCACCACACCCCGCTGACTTTCTGTATTGTTAGTAGAGAAGAGGTTTCACTATGTTAGCCAGGGTAATCTCAATCTCCTGACCTTGTGATCTGCCCTCCAAGGCCTCCCAAAGTGCTGAGATTACAGGCGTGAGCCACCGCAACCGGCCCACTTCCTCTTCTTTAAAGCAGGGCAGCGACTGTGCCTCTGTCAGACGGCTGTTGCGGGATTACAAGAGCCCAGACGTGAAAGTGTACGGCAGGGGTGGCAGTTACGATCGCCGATGAAATTCCAGGACAGAAGAACATGCGTGTTCTATTCTCTGCCATCTGCTGTCATGCGATTTAGCCTGCGTGTTGAACTGACACGAGTTCATGTTTTGGTTTATTCAACACTGGCAGCAGATGCAAGAAGGGACTCAAACCCAAGACTTCCCCAAACCTCTGTCTTCCTGTCCGCCCTCCCCATCCCCTCTCCTCTGAGGCCCTTGCCGCGACCAGGTGACTGACCCTGCAACTCCGTGCCAGGGACAGGGCCCCGGCGTCTCCACAGCTGCTCACACCCAGGTCCTTCTCTTGACTCGCACCAACGGGCTCTGTCCTCACGCTCCCCACCCCCGGGGCAGCTTTAGCCTCTGCACCTGAGACTCCCCACCCATAATTTTGAGCACCCAGAGTCCGGCAGCAGCTCTCGGAATGGCGGGTCCTGTGGGTTATCAGGTGCTGGGCCTCTGCGTTCTGGGCCACCTGCATCGAGATGGGGCCACCCCGGTCCTGACAGGTGCAAGGAAGGGTCCACCAGCAATGGGTCAGATGCCACCTCATGCCCACTAAGATGACCATGATCAAAACCAGAAAATATAAAGTATGGGCGAGGCCACGGCCACACGGGAGCCTAGAGCATGATTGTGGGGCTGGACAGCATGGTGACCATGTCCCTAACCGTGGGAAACAGTTTGGTGGTCCCTCAGTATGTTACACAGAACACATGTCCCAGCAAGCCCACTCCAGGGACACACCCCAGAGAACTGAAAACAAGTGTTCAAACAAAACGTTGCTCATGAATGTTCACAGCAGCACCGGCCACAGTTGCCAAAAGGCAGAAACAGCCCAAAGTCCATCAGCAGAGGCGTGGACAGACACAATGGGCACAATGCAGTATGTTTTAGCGGGAAAACAAAGGAAGTTCTGACGTGTGCTGCACTGTGGACAAATCTTGAGACGATCAGCCAAATGGCAGAAGCTGGACACCCGTGGGCACACGCTGTGTGATTCCCTGGGCACATGCCGTGATTCCACGGGCACATGCTGTGTGATTCCATGGGCACACGCCGTGATTCCACGGGCACACGCCGTGTGATTCCCTGGACACACGCCGTGATTCCACGGGCACATGCTGTGTGATTCCATGGGCACACGCCGTGATTCCACGGGCACACGCCGTGTGATTCCCTGGGCACACGCCGTGATTCCACGGGCACATGCTGTGTGATTCCACGGGCACACGCCGTGATTCCACGGGCACACGCTGTGTGATTCCCTGGGCACATGCCGTGATTCCCTGGGCACACACTGTGTGATTCCATTCATTCTGAGTGTCCAGCAGAGGCAACGTCACGGAGACAGAAAGTCCACTGGCAGTTTCCAGAAGATGGGGGGAATAGGGAGTGATTACTAATGGGGTTTCTCTTTCTCTTTTTCTTTTTGAGACCAAGTCTTGCTCTGTTGCCCAGGCTGGAGTGCAGTGATGCAATCTCGTCTCACTGCAACTTCCAACTCCCAGGTTCAAACGATTCTCCTGCCTCAGCCTTCCATGTAGCTGGGATTACAGGCACGCATCGCCATGCCTGGCTGTTTTTCTTTCTTTCTTTCTTTCTTTCTTTTTTTTTTTTTTGAGACAGAGTCTCGCTCAGTCACCCGGGCTGGAGTACAGTGGCACAATCTCGGCTCACCACAACCTCCGCCTCCTGGGTTCAAGCCATTCTCCTGCGTCAGCCTCCTGAGTAGCTGGGACTACAGGCACGTGCCCCCACACCTGGCTAATTTTTTGTATTTTTAGTAGAGATGAGGTTTCACTATGTTGCTCAGGCTGGTCTTGAACTCCTGACCTCAAATGATCTTCCCACATTGGCCTCCCAAAGTGCTAGAATTACAGGCGTGAGCCATCGCCCCTGGCTGGTATGGGGTTTCTATTTGGGATGATGAAAATGTTCTAAAATGGGCTGTGGTAATAGTTGCACAATTTTCTGAATGTACTCTATGTCATGTCAGTCATTTTTGGGTTTTTTTTTGAGACAGAGTTTTGCTCTTGTTGCCCAGGCTGGAGTACAGTGGCTCAGTGCAACCTCTGCCTCCTGGGTTAAAGCGATTCTCCTGCCTCATTCTCCAGAATAGCTGGGATTACAGGCATGCAACACCACCCCCAGCTAATTTTTTGTATTTCTAGTAGAGACAGGGCTTCGCCATGTTGGCCAGGCTGGCCTTGATATCCTGACCTCAGGTAATCTGTCCACCTTAGCCTCCCAAAGTGCTGTGATTATAGGCGTGAGCCACTGCACCTGGCCTGATCTTTTATTTTATTTTATTTTTTGAGATGGAGTCTTACTCTGTCCCCTGGGCTGGAGTGCAGCAGTGCGATCTTGGCTCATTGCAACCTCTACCTCCCGGTTCAAGCAATTCTCTGCCTCAGCCTCCTGAGGAACTGGGATTACAGGCATGCACCATCACACCCAGCTAATTTTGTATTTTTAGTAGAGATGGGGTTTTGCCATGTTGGCCAGGCTGGCCTCAAACTCCTGACCTCAGGTAATCCACCCACCTCAGCCTCCCAAAGTGCTGGCATTACAGGCGTGAGCCGCCAAGCCTGGCCTGATATTTTAAAGTAATTCGTTTTGACTGGGCATGGTGGCCTACACCTGTAATCCCAGCACTTTGGGAGGCTCCGGCAGAAGGATGGCTTGAGCCCAGGGTTTTGGCACCAGCCTGGGCAGCAGAGCAAGACTCCGCTTCTATTTAAAAGAATCAGGGGGTAAGACCAATGATGATCAGGCTGGGCACAGGGTACCACCCAGTGGGGATTAGGCCTGAGGCCCAATAATCGGAGTGGCCAGCTTGAGGGGGTGGGCTGGCTGCACTCTGGAAGCCTTGTGGCAGGTAGGGTGTTTCAGAACCCGCCTTTTGCATGTTAGACAGATGTCTACTTCGTCTGCACCAGCGCGGATGGAGTAAGACAGCCAAGTACCAGCCTCTTTGGGGCCTGCAGCTGCGTCTTAGGCTCCTCATCTGTGAGACGGGGATGAGAGCCACGCCTGCTTCCCAGGGGCCTCGTCAGCATCAAAGGAGCAGGTCTCTGGAATGACCATGTGATAAATGTCAGTTATTCTGCCCAGGCTCCACGGGGTTGCTGGCGAGCCCCAGGGACCAAGGTCGACTGTGAGGGCAGACACAGGCCAGGGGACAGAAAGCAGGACAGTGCCCGGTCCCAGGCAGCATGGCTGCAGGGTGGTGTCCCGCCCAGGGTGTGCCCTTCTCTATTTCCTTGGCCTGACCCATCCTTACTGTCCCATTCAGGGTTCTGGCCTCCAGGCTCCTCAGTGTCCCAATCAGGGGGCACAGAGGCTTCTGACTAAGCCTGGACTCTATGTGCCTGCTGCAGGACAGCTGGGGAAGCGAAGGCCCAGAGGTGCCTCTGTGAGGCACCCGAGACAGGGTGGGTGAGGGTACACTTCACTGTCTCCCCCCAGGGAGGGAGCTGCGGATGCACCGGGGGTTCCGGGGAAACCCACGGGGACCATGACTGTGCCGGGGGCCAGAGCCCACTCCCCGGGAGAAAGGGGTCAAGACAGAACATTTCGGAAAGCAAGGGCCCAGGCTGGGGGGCAGGCGCAGGCGGAGAGGGATGGGGGTGTAATGGAGGGCAGCTGGCAGCACAGGGGTCCCCCGGAGACCCTGGGCGGGGCCCAGCAGCTTGGTGACCTGAGCCTCTGGCACAGCATGTCCGGCAGCCCTGACCCGGCTCCCCAGTCCAGACTTGAGGCGGCTCCACGCAGCACAGCCGGCCCCTCCCCCCAGGACCGCTCTGGGCTCCAGCTGCTGCCCGCCGTCTGGGGCCCAGCTGTTGTGTACTGGCCTCAGCCGCCCCGCCCCGCATGGCCACCTGGGCCGCCCTGCACCCCAGCTGCTGGCCTCTGAGGCCCAAGTGAGCAGGGAAGTGAGGCGGGCCACCCGCTTCCCCAAGTGGCTGGCTCTTGGGGGGAGCCCTGCTCTCCAACCAGCTCAGGGTGGGGGAGGGGTCCCGAGGCCAGGCGGTGCCGTGGCAGAGCTGGACCCCTTTTGGTTTCCCCCAGCCCCCCTTTCTGGTCACCGCATGCATCAGAAGGACTCTCCCTGGCCTCATGTACCGGGACCTCGATGAGCCGAGCCCCTTGCCAGGAGCCGCTGTGGCTCCCACCCAGGTCTTGGAGGGACAAGGGGAGCCGCTGGGCTGGAGCTGCCCTCCCCTGGGCCCCAGTGCCTGGGAGTGGGTGGCCTCTGGGTCCCCTGGTGGGGAGGACCGGCCTTGCCCTAGGACTGAAGCCCGCGGGCTCAGAAGTCCTTCACCCAGCTGACAGCCTCTAGAGCTCGGCCCGGAGGCCAAGGCCCTGTCGTTTCTGGACCCAGGTATTTGGCAGGATCTGCTTCTCTTGGCACCCCTGCAGCTGAGCCCCACCCCCTCCCACCTCCTCCCTACGGCCTCACCTGGCTGGTGCCAGCCTGCAGCCCACTGGGCTAAGGGTGGAGTGGCAGGGCCACCCGGGAAAGGTCACATTCCAAAGCTGGGGGAGGAAGGGCATGGGGATGCAGGAGCCCTTGCTCATCGCCGGAGATGGGGCCTCTTGGGACATCAAGCAGAGTGTGTGTGTCTCCTTCCTGGACAGGTGAGGGAGGCTGGAGGTCAGGTTCTGGGGTGTCAAGGGGAGGGGCAGAGAGGCTGCTCCTTTGCCCTCCCAGCTGCCAGGCTCTGCTGCCCCCCCAAGCTGCAGACCGTGGCCCGCACCCATCCAGCCTGCTGGTCTCCACGCTCCTGCTCCTGCAGCAACAGCAGCAGGCCAGGGAGGCCATGTGACCCTCGCCCTCCCTCCCTCCCTCCCTGTGATCCCCACGTGGCCTCTGGGGAGGCAGAAACAAACCCTCAGATCTTGCCACTGGGAACCTTTCAGCGCCAGCGACATCAAAGCGGGGTGGCGGCGGCGGGGGCGGCCGGCGGATGCTTCTCTTAAAGGGCCACGCCACTTTTAATTCAAAGCAGATCCTGGGAGCAGCTGTCTAGCTGTCTGGGAGGGAAGGTGGCAGCCAAGTCCTCTCCAGACTGGGCTGCAGTTGCTCCTCAGAACTAGTTAAACTAGGCCGGGGGCGGTGGCTCACGCCTGTCATCTCAGCATTTTGGGAGGCTAAAGTGGGCAGAACACCTGAGGTCAGAAGTTCGAGACCAGCCTGGCCAACATGGTGAAACCCTGTCTCTGCTAAAAACACAAAAATCAATACAGAAGGAAAACCCAGGGCATGAAAAGAAAATACAGGCCGGGTGCGGCGGCTCACGCCTGTCATCCCAGCACTTTGGGAGGCTGAGGCGGGTGGATCACGAGGTCAACAGATCGAGACCATCCTGGTCAACATGGTGAAACCCCGTCTCTACTAAAAATACAAAAAATTAGCTGGGCATGGTGGCGCGTGCCTGTAATCCCAGCTACTCAGGAGGCTGAGGCAGGAGAATTGCCTGAACTCAGGAGGCGGAGGTTGCGGTGAGCCGAGATCGTGCCATTGCACTTGAGCCTGGGTGACAAGAGCGAAACTCCGTCTCAAAAAAAAAAAAAAAAAAAAAAGAAAATACAAAAATCAGACAGACATGGCGGTGGTGCATGCCTGTAATCCCAGCTACCTGGGAGGCTGAGGCACAAGAATCCCTTGAACCCAGGAGATAGAGATTACAGTGAGCTGAGATCACACCACTGCACTCCAGCCTGGGTGACAGAGTGAGGCTGTCTCAAAAAAACAAGAAAGAACTGCCCCAGCACAATTGGTTTTTAATTTTTTTGTAGAGATGGGGTCTCACTATGTGGCCCAGGCTGGTCTTGAACTCTTGGGCTCATGTGATCCTCCCCCTTAGCCTCCCCAGATGCTGGGGTTACAGCTGCGTGCCACCCTGCCTGGCCCTGAGGTGGGATTGTGACGGGCCCAGGTGTCCATCCTGCCTGGAGGCCACAGGAATGTTCCCTGACCACCTCCCATTCATTTGCCTGAGCCCTGTCCCAGGCCCAGGGACACAGGACCCAGATGGCAGGCGTGCCACTGCAGGGCTTGTCTTCTGGTGGAGGCGATGATGAAAATAGCTGCTCAGGGAGCTCCTGACAGGATGTTGGGGATGGGGAATGGGAAAGCCAGGCAGAAAACAGCCCCTGTGCTGGGCATTCAGGGGGCCCGGCAGGGGCCCCAGGCCAGCCCTGGGATGGACTCTGTGCAGCCTTGAGGAAGGGACCCAACTTCGTTTTCTGGCCCGGCTCAGGCTTCCTACAGCCCGCCGGGGACTCGGTGACTGCAGTGATCTCTTGGCCCTCCTGTGCCAAGTCAGGGTCCACTCACCTGTGAGGCGGGTGCTACAGGTGAGGA